AAATCGATTAGATCAGAAGTCCTCCACTTGTGTAGAAGAAAAAATAATATACAAATGAGAGAGGAGTATAGTGGCGGATAGAGGGGGAAAAATCATCATCAGAAAGAACGTGATGACGTGAAGTATGGGTTTACGAAATAAAAGGAAAAATTACTAAGAAAGATGAGCCCAGAATAAAAATAAGTTCATAAAAAGTAGTTTATGGGCTGAGTATGTAATTCACCAGTTTCTGAGACAGATGACCATTCTATGCTAAAATTCTTAGTATTAAAATTGAAAAAAATGATGAATGCAGGTAGATTAAGGCAAATTATATCGTACATATTAGATAATTTTGCAACTGACTTCCGTTATATAGTGACGCATGGTCATAAGGGCAATTTTTTCTTGTATAGCTCCAAACTGGTCAATAGTACGATCAAACTGCTTTCTTTGTGTTGCGAACTCAACAGTACGCTTTATCAATTCTTGCATTGTTCCAGAAAGAATGGCAGACATTGCAAAACGACCCTGGTTTAAAATGTTGACGGCGATTTTGAAGCCTTCTCCAACATTGCCAAGTAAATTCTCAGCCGGGACCTACGGCGTAAAAGTAAAAGCTATGAGAAGCCTAGTGGGTATATCAAATGATGCGAGTATAAATTCCGCTAATAATTGACCCAACAAAAAGTTGCCGAGCCAGATATAATAAAAATAGATCTTATAAAGACAGTATACATGAAAATCAAGATGTGGCCTCTATTTTGGTGTATGTAAGTAGGTGAGGTCGTTTTCGCAACTTGGTCGTGCTGGCCTCAAGACCAAATTGGAATCATTTTGTCCGAAGTCCTCTGATATAGTAGTTATGATAATTCACAGTGTCAGACTGTGGACTTGGCATATTCCTAACAATTTGCTAGCATCATGAGTTTTGCCAATCTTAGCACCAGGCTACAACTCGGTAATAACACAAGTAAGGTTCACTCCTTGACCAAGCAGAATTCAGAAAAGGTACGTACAATTAGGTCGCCCCGACAGCAGAGCCAAGTTA